ACAGTGCTACAAAAAAGCGTAAAGTAGAAATACCTGGGATGTTATGTATATTTTCTTGTAGGTCTATTCAAGTAAAACCAGCATCGAAATATGAAATTTGCCAAAAACCCGTTTTTCGTACTTTTGCGCACTTATGTATATGCCGGTACCTTAGTCCATTATGAACCGAGTTTCAGTTTTAATGCCGGGTTTAAAAGGAAGACACTTGGGCCTTTCAAACNTTTTCTTGTAGGTCTATTCAAGTAAAACCAGCATCGAAATATGAAATTTGCCAAAAACCCGTTTTTCGTACTTTTGCGCACTTATATGCCTGTACCTTAGTCCATTATGAACCGAGTTTCAGTTTTAATGCCGGGTTTAAAAGGAAGACACTTGGGCCTTTCAAATGATATATATGTGAATAAAGAAACCTTAAGAGATCTCGGTGTATTTACCCAGCAAACTCATTTTTTTTTTTACTTTTTCGCCTTTTTTCAATTTCGGTGAGGGTTTTACGCACTATTTTATAAGAAAACAATACTAGTCCTAAATTGACTGTAAAATCAAATTTAATAACGAAAAAAACTAGTGTTTATTTTAAAAAGTCGGAGGAAACAAATTTTTGCAAAAATATTAATTTTGACTACATATACATACATACTAAAAAATGTTTTCTTAGCCGTTTTTCTTAATTCAGCATCATCAGTTTATCAGTTTCTCGGTTTAAAATATTCTGATATAATTTTTTTAGCCANAAATCAAATTTAATAACGAAAAAAACTAGTGTTTATTTTAAAAAGTCGGATGAAACAAATTTATGCAAAAATATTAATTTTGACTACATATACATACATACTAAAAAATGTTTTCTTAGCCGTTTTTCTTAATTCAGCATCATCAGTTTCTCGGTTTAAAATATTCTGATATAATTTTTTTAGCCAAGCGCACTTGTGCACAAGGGTATTATAACTGTGTGCACATAACGGTTGTTTGTAACAGCCAAAACGAATCGAGATAGAGATATAGACAAGGGTTTGAAATTGCTTGACTATTTTCGACGCATTCGCAGTTGCTTAACTACGACTAACCAGGGATGCCGTTTGGATCTAAATAGATCCAATTGGATACATTTTTAGACGAATTTTTGCGGGATACTTATTTTTTCCGATCAGTATAAATATGGATACTTTTTTAAATAGGCCAAAATTTTATATATTCTATAAATTTTTTTTCGTTCAAAAATCTATTTTCATTAAAGATGATAAAAAGCATTACGTTTTTTAAATGTATTAAAAATCGCTACTTAAGCGTGAAATCAAAGCATTTTAATTTTTGTGAACGAAGCAATGAGCATATGAAGAGATCTCACCAAAATAGGTATAACCGCAATTGTTTTAATTAGCTTAAAAGGATGCTGTAAGCAAGATCATAATATACATATATATATAATAAATTATACTCTTTCACATAATTTCATTTGTTAATTTAAAAAGAAAGAAGATTTTAATGTAATTTAAAATACACTTAAAAAAAAACTAAAGTTGATTTATTTAAGGAAATTTGTATGAATTTTACTGAAAAGACTTTAAATACACTCTAAAAAAATTGTGTTTATTTGCGCATATTAAGAGGGGTAACCAGTTTCCTCTTATAATGTGTACAAATTTGCACGCAGTGTAATAAAATTAAATATTGCCTGTTTACTTTTACATACCAAATTTGTCGCAAAGATCAAAATTACACATAAAATGTTTAAAATATAGTAATGTTTATTATTAGTAGGAAATGTATTTTTACTCTGAAAATTTTTGCAATTTTGCGTTTGTTGGGTTGTGAAATCTCCGAGTATTGGAAAGCCAGGAATTGTATATTTCTATGTCGACTTTTGCTAAATAATGCTCCTAGCTATCTCTACAATAAACTAATTTTCCCTAAATCACCTCGAATAAACGACTTAATAGTACCATCATTTAATTATCTAACCTCTGCAAGGCTATTCTTTGTCAATGCTATTCGTATCTGGAATTCTATCCCTACCTCCGTTCGGAGTGAATTGAATAAAAGCAACTTTAAGAACACCATCTATACGTACTTTCGCTGAACCAAATAACTTTAACTTTCTCTTGTCATCTGTGTTGATCTTTGCTACATATGTATTATGTGATATATATTTTATTTTATTTTTGTTTTAAGTAATCTGTATGTATTTTATTTTACTGGTATTTTTAATCTCTGTTTTGTACTATAAAATATCTATGATCTTATTGTACTAATGCTTATTCTCTTAATAAATGAAATGAAATGAAATTTAATTTAATTGAATTTTTTTAAGTATTCTATATATGTGTATTTATAAGTATATTTTAAAGACGTATATTTATACTGATTCTTGTTGAAAAATATATAGTTTTCAGTAGTAGTTTTACATGCTTTTTTAGAGTGTACTTGCTATTTATTATACTTACTTTGCAAAATACTTATGCACAAAAAATGTACTTTACTATTTTAAATTACAAATGTTTGATTTTATGAAAAATAAAAATATATATACATGTATTCCAATTCGTTAGGATGGGTTAAATGATGTCTTTTTCTTGAAAATTTTTGGTTTTCTTACAAATTATGAGATGTATATGTAAACAAAGAAAATTGGATACAATTGGATACATTTTTGGCTTGGTCAGTGATACATTTTCTGGAGACGGCGCGGCAACACTGCGACTAACCCAAATAAATCAGCAAAAGCAGACAGCAAAAGCGAAAATGCAAAATGAAATCATTTGCTTCAGCTTATAGAGCTGTTTGTTTTTGCTTACAGTCAGCCGAAGCTACCAGTTTAGAAAAAATTGCTGATGCTGCAAGTAGTAAGTTTGGTGTATTCTCATTTTTGCTTTTGCTTTTTTTGTCGCTGCGTTATTCTCGCAGTCGAAAGCAACTGTTTAAGCAAAATTTTAAAATTTAGCTGCGCATTACATCAGATGTCGCTATATACATACAAACATACATGCATATGTATGCATATGTGTATGAAAGTACTCGCGAGAATAACGAATCGAGAAATAAGCTAAAGCAAGACTAAAACTACTGCTTGCAGCAATAGCAAATTTTTCTAAACTGGTTGCTTATGTTGACTTTGTAAGCAAAAACTAACTGCTCTATAAGCTAAAGCAAATGATTTCATTTTTCTTTTCGCTTTTGCAGTCTGCTATTGCTGATTTATTACTGTAAGTCGGAGCTAAGCAATTGCCAATGCATGAAAATGATCAAGAGCTGCTTGCTTTAAAAAGCAAAAAAGTGTTGCTTATGCTATTTTGCAGTCAGCAATTCAAACCAGGGTTGTTGCGAATATTCGTATTCGCATTCGCAACCGCGGAGCTTCCGCATTAGTTTTAACATTCGCATTCGCTTTCGCATTCGCGATAATCAATGCGGATCTTTTGCGAATGCGAATATTGAAGGGACAGAAAGTAACAGTTATTTTGTTTCCGAGTTAAACTTGGCCAAATATATTTTATTCCCAACTAAAAGTCCTTTCTGGACAATAAACAAACCGCTTATCCAAATTAAACAGGTTTGGTATCAAATGAAAGAGGACTTAAATAGCTTTAAAACTGAAATGTCTAAACAAACAAAGTCACCTATTAAAAAATATTTCAATAAAAAATGATAATTAATTACCATAGAGCAAACCTTGGGTGAGGTATATGAATTTCTTTAGTATTAAATGATATAAAAAAATATATATAAATAGAGGTGGTAACGTGGTAACCTTCGTTCTTTATTTCTGTTTAAAATCTATTTCAGTCCTCTTTCACATGATATCAAATTTGTTTAATTGTGATAAGCTGTTTGTTTATTATCCACAAAAAACTTTCGGAATAAAAAATATTAGGCCAAGTGTAACTGGTAAAAAAATAACTGTTATTTTCGGTCCCTGGAATATTATGCAAGTGCAATGATAAAACGTATATCTGGCCAGTCACAGAAGAAAGGATTAAAAATGAATTACAAAAACTAAAATCGAAAAACGCTGTTGACGCTACTGGTTCTCCACATTCAGAAACTACCAAAAGAATGAGAATGAAGAATTCTTTGGAAAACAACGGTGTTTAATCAACGACCTTGCCATGATACTAGATTGTGAAGATGAAAGTCATGAGGGTACATACGACATTTGCAGACCGATGCAATTCTAGTCTAAGTTCGGGCGGAGCCGAACATTAAATACCCGGCGCAAGTATTCAATATAGTTTTTTTACCTTTCCGAAAACTACCGTTAGATGGTAGCAGTGGTGGTTTTACGTCTATTTGAAAGATCTTCGATAGAACGTTCAGTTAGACATAATGAGATAAACTTATATAGATATATGTGGGCGGCATCACGCCCATTTTCCAAGATTCCATAATAATGTTAATTCTTTTCAAGGGATTGTTGTTAGTATCAATTTTGGGTAAAATTAGCGTTGTAAAAAGGTGGTCGTAATTTTAGTCAGATTTCAATAACTTTCAACGTTTTGCCTTTATGGGGCAACCACTATAATCATACCGAGTTTGGTGCACATTGATCGAACGATTACCGAGATACACATATGTGGTTTTAAGTAGGCGGGGTTACGCCCATTTTCCAACATTTTATTATAAGCGTACTTTTTGCTCAAGAATTATTGCAAACATCAATTTTGAATAAATTACTTCAGTATTGATTACTGATTTTCGAAGCTTTCGTATTTCTCTAAACTACCGTTATGTGAGATGTGGGCGTTGCTATTATCCGATTTTTTTAATTTTCAGCCGTTTGGTATGTTTTGTGAAGGCCAACAACTGTGCCAAGTTTGGGAGAAATTGGTGGAGCGGTTCCCAAGATATACACATGTAATCATAAGTGAGCGTGCCTACGCCCATTTTCCAAAAATTGATGCTATTATTTTTTTCGTTTAAAAATTATTGTACATATAATTTTAAGTGAGTAAGCTTCAGTAGTTACTAAAATATCGCAGTTTTCGTCTTTCTGAAAACTACCGTTATATGGGAGGTAGGCGTGGTTATGGTCCAATTTCGCCCATTTTCCTACGCATCCGTCCTACGCTCAAAATAAGTACACATACAAAGTTTCGTTAAGATATATCAATTTGTACTCGAGTTATCACAGACGGACGGACAGACAGTCACCGCTTAATCGATTTCTCTTTTCATTCTGATCATTTATGTACACTGAACTGGCCTAAATTATGTTGGAAGAGGTCCAAATGCAAATGAAGGAAATGAATTTTTATGGACATGTTAAAACCCATTCCACCGTAAGCATTCAAAACTTCGTTAACAACCGTGACAAAGTCGTCGGCTCTGTGGTTTCCGAAGAAATTATTGCATGGCGCTACAAAACACTTCCACGCGCATTTTTCTACGGAGCGTAGCTTGTTCAAAAAGCTCGCTTCGCTCATAATTTTACGAATTTGAGGTCCTATGAAAATACCTAAAATTCATGAAAAGAGATAAAACCGATGAAAAAGTACAAAATCAGCGAATAAAAAATGTATACCTCCTTTCATTTTGGCATCACTTAATTTTGGAAACACCACTTTTAGATGACAAAAAGCGTTGCTATTTCCATCCAATTTTTTTTACAATTAGGGGCATTTTCGAAGTCTTGCAAAGCCCTTGCGCGGTGTATGGATTGCATGAAAAACCCGGGTTTCCTATGGGACAGCTTTGCAAAACAATGCAATCCGTGCACCGTGCACGGATATATGAAACTATAGGGGTATTCTCATAGTTCCATATATCTTATGCAGTGATGGTAGGACAACATTTTCAGCTTTAACCAATGGGACGTTTAAAACGTTTACCGGCCTATTTAATGCGGTTCTCGGGATGGCCATATTTTGCGATCATAGAAAACGGCAAATTAAAAAAAAAACTGTCAAGCTAAGATTTTTGAGTATTACAGCTCAAAATGATATCTTTGAAAAAAAAAAGTTTAATAAATCAGTAAACCTTCATCCGATTTTTGAAAGTAAACACTCGTTTTACTCGCTATTAAATTTATTTAGTTTGACAACGAATTTAGAACTAGTATGGTTTTCTTATAGAATAGTACGTAAAAACCTCACCAAAATTGAAAAAAGGCGAAAAAAGTAAACAAAATGTGTTTGCTGGGTAAATACACAGATCTCTTAAGGTTTATGCATTCACATATATATCGTTCGAAAGTCCCAAGTTTCTTCTTTTTAAACCCGACAATAAACCGAAACTCGGTTCATAATGAACTAAGTACGGCTTATAAGTGCGCAAAGTACGAAAAGCCGTTTGTTTTTTTAACGGTAAATCAAGAGTTTAGGGATGTTTGGGAAATTTAATATTTCGATTCTTGTTTTACTCGAGAATACCTACCAGGGAATATACATAACTTCCCAGGTATCTTTTAGTGCCTCACACTGTAATTGCTTTACTAGTTTTTCTCAGGAAAAATTAATTAAAACCTGTTAGACGTGTTTAGAATCGAGTCAATTACCTAATTGGATATTTCCACACATTTCTAACTTAGGACTTTCTGCCACTCTCAGACCACTGTGCGGCATTCATAGGCTGGGTGTCGTGGTAGGTGCTGACCGACGCCCTATGAGTGTCGTTCATCGCTCGTCGGTACGTCGTCGAGTCCAGTGGTTGGTCGATGTTTGTCTAGGCCGCGTCCTTATATATAAGTAAGTGCCCCTGACGTGCCTCCTCCTCTAGCAAGGGTCTATTAGGGTGTTAACTTCTGTGGAACCCCACCAGAAACTGTGTAACGTAGCTCCCCTATGCTACACTAACTACGCCCTACATACATATGTACATACCACACATGCGCTAATATACATGCCTATCGACATGCACCTAACAAGACATATTTAAATACATACATACATATCTACATACATACATACATCATACATACTGACCATACACATATTGACAGCGTGGCGACGAATAACTGTTACCCCGGTTTTTAGAGAAATAAAAGGGTCCTTTATAGATTTTGCGAAAAAAGTATTTTATTGTTAAGTTTCCACAGATTTTACTTTAGTTGTATTAATTAGTTATTAAGTTTTAATCCCTATTTACATTTGCCAGCAGTTTAAATTTTGAGAGAAAAGTTCATTTGGCACGCAGGTCTAATTTATTCCATATCTTTTGTAACCATAGGCAAATTCGGATCGCCAATACCATCTGTCGCCGCTGGGCCAAGATTGCAACGAAGAACCGCCACTGATTGTCGCCAACGAATACCGCTAACCGTGCCATTGATATCCAGGGCCGCCGTCACCGTCGTTGTTTACCAACGCCCAGCACATCTCGCGATCGGGGGCCGCCATTATTACTGCCGCCTCGAGGGCGAAGCCAGTGCCAAGCGAGGCCACCAGCGAGGACCGCTAGTCGTGTCATTAATAACCAGGGTCGCTGTCACCGTCAGAATCGATCCGGGCCAGGTATACGCTTCGCGATCGCCGGGCCGCCGAAATTATTGCCGCCCCTAGGCCGAACCCGATGCCTGGCCCCGCCAGCTTCCAGGACCGCCAGCCTTACCATCGTCATCAAGGACCGTAGTCACCGCCATAGCAAAAGGGCCTCAGCCGCCGATACCATTCTTACTAGGGGAGGTCGATACCGCCCTTTTGGGCCACCGTAAACCTCACCGCAGGGCCGTAACTATTACTACAAGGGACTGCTACTGCCGTCACGATCGGCACCGCCGCTCTCATTGGCTGCAGTACCAGTGCTGTGGGCGTTTACCACCATCACGCTCGCTACCGCTCTCACTGCCATCGTCATTAATCACCGACCCGTATCCGCTCTCACTGTCATCATCATTAATCACCGAACCGTCACCGCTCTCACCGTCACTAAACACCGGACTGTCTCCGCCCTCTGACCACGACGCCGACTGCCGACCAGTTAGTCTCTCTCCCTTTCAGTACCTCCCTCCCTTTTCTTGTACGTCACGGTGCCGGTATTCTGGTCGAAAAGCCGCGTGTGTGTCTTGTGTTCACTACATTAAACTACTGTGTTTTATTTTATTTAGTTGGGGTTAGTGGGACCACCGCCCAACCCTGGAGCGGCTGAGTTACCTCAGCCTTCGATAAAACCCATCTCATAAATGGCCCCCAGCATGGTGGACATCAGCGTTACCATTGTCACAACGCACGGCGGCTGTGGGCAAGACGGGACTTTCTCCAGGGATTTTCCATGCCCCAAATCAACCGTTACAGCGCCACCCATCGCCCAAGCTGCTACATTGCAACCCGAATGGCGGAATATCGACGGTCGCTTTTACGCCAAAGCCACCATTGAAGACTTACACATACGGGCACTGGTGCCCATGGGAGCCACTCTAACATACGTGGACGACAGCACCCGCGCACACTTAGAACAACTCAACATCCGACCTCAGCCTAACAAGGGGACCTCCAACTCGCGGATCGGACATGCGTTGCAAGCACATACACCTACCCCGTCAGAATTAAGTATAACGAGCGATTCACACTCACGGCGGTAGCAGTGATCCCTAACCTAGTAGAACGAATGATACTAGGAATGTCAAAGCGAGACATTGTTGTAACCTTAGACGGCCAGCCACTAAAGCCCGACACGTCACCGAGACCTAAAGCCACGCTGTGTTGCCTAACCCAACGGGCTCACTTGGATGAAAACATAATCAGGAACTAACACACTTTCTGGACTGCCACAAGATGCTGTTTTCCAAAATCACCGGACCAAGCACCGCCGCCGAGCACGTCATTACATTGCGACACAACCAACCGTTGAAGCAGCGCTACTACCCACGCAACCCCACCATGCTGCAGGTAATAAACACCGAAGTGGACGAATTACTCACCGCTAACCGGAGCGCGTACAGCTCGTCGAATGTGCTGATCAGGAAAAAACAAGGAACCTGGCGCATGTGCACTGATTACGGTCAACTCAATGCCGCTAGCGAACCCCACGCGTATCTACTACCTCAAATTGGAGCTATTTTGGATCAACTAAAGGAAGCGAAGTACATCTCAACCATCGACTTAAAAAACGGCTACTGGCAGATACCATTGGCCAAAAAGTCTCGAAGAATACCGCCTTTACCGTCCCCGGCCGAGGACCTTTTCAATGGAAGGTAATGCCCTTCGGGCTACACTCCGCTCCAGCTACCTTCGAACGCGCCCTCGACTCTATACTTTTTCCAGAACTACAACCAAAGGTGTTCGCTTACTTAGATGACATCATCGTACTGGGCGACGCTTTCACCGAACATATGACCTACCTACGCGAAGTCTTCCCTAGACTTTAGAAACACGAAATGCGAGTCAATTACTAGAAATGCAATTTTGTGCAACAAAAATTGTACTACCTAGGCCATATCGTTAGCTCTGAAGGGATACACACTGACCCAGGAAAAGTAGCCGCGGTACAAGATATAACCGCGCCGCAAAGCATCAAGGAGCTCCGCCGCCTTCTCGGACTCGTCTCTTGGTACCGTCGCTTCGTCGCTAATTTCTACACACTCGCCGCACCCCTCAAGCAGTTACTCAAAAAAAAAACAGACTTGGACATGGGGCGAACTACAGAACAACGCGCTCAAAGAAAAACTCACCTATGCACCGATACTCTGCTGCCCAGATTTCAAAAGACCATTTTAATTACAAACCGGCGCTAGCGAAGAAGGACTCGGCGTGGTCCTATTCCACCGACACTCGCAGCAAGAGAAGGTTGTGGCCTTTGCCAGCAGAAGTCTGTCCGACTTAGAAAAGCGTTACTCTTCTACGGAACAAGAATGTCTTTCCGTCCTGTGGGATCCGGAAAATGAGACCATACTTATAGGGATAGATACCGGTTCCCGTAATCACCGACCACCACTCTCCCAAATGGCTCCACTCGCTCCAAAACCCCTCCGGATGGGCACCCAAGATGCAACAATTCAACTTCGAAATCTAATACCGAAAGGGATATCTAAACATGGTGGCCGACGCGTTCTGACGATGCCCACTTCCAACACCCAACACCGAAGAAGACCTACTGCTCGCCTTGAATAGCCAATCCACGAGTTGGTATGACAGGAAGACACACCAGATACAAACACAACCCGAACAAAACCCCGACTACAAATGGATCGACAACCGGTTATTCCCACACATAACACCAACAAATCCACTTTCACGAGCTCCGAAATGGAAGCCCTGCATCCCCTTTGACCAAAGAGAGAACATCCTTAAAGAAGTCCACGACGCCGCCGCGGCAGGACACCTCGGGATCAAGAAAACCCTCGAACGCGCTCAAGAAAATTACTACTGGCCAGGGATGTATCGGGATGTAAGCAACCATGTGCGTGGGTATCTCTCGTACGCAGAATACAAGGTGGAGCAACGACGCCCGGCAGGATTAATGGCCACGATGCAATGCTCACGATCATGGGAAATCGTCATCGTCGATTTCATCGGACCCCTCCCACGTTCCAAACAGGGTAACACATGCCTCCTAGTCTTGGTAGATACATTTTGCAAGTGGATCGAATTGATCCCCGTCCGAAATGCCACCGCCACGACCGTAATCAAAGCCCTCCCTCCGAGAAAGGGTGATTTACCGATTCGGATGCGCGACCGTTTTCCTTAGCAACAAAGGGAAATCGTCACCGACGACTTCATCGGACCCCTCCCACGTTCCAAACAGGGCAACACATGCCTCCTAGCCTAAACACCTAGCCACGGCCGCCAAACATAAAAAGAAATACTATGACTTACGCAGACGTCCGTGGAAGCTAAAAATTGGGGACAGAGTAATGAAGAGAGACCACCCTGTCTCTTTAGCCATCGGGCACTTCGCACAAAAGCTCATCATCCTCCACTACGTCTCCACGAATTCTGCTAAGCTTGTCCACGTCGAAAGACCCAACGGACAACACACGCACGCTCACCTCCAAGTTCTGAAATCATTTGTCAAACATTAACCGGCTATCTCCTTCTCCACATACTAAACCTACATGAGAAGCACCGCTAAAAGAAACTTCCGTTTTTTATACTCTTCTACCTACAGTCAAAACTGCACGAGCCCACCTGATACTACCAAAACAAAAACCCCTGGAGATGTACTATATGTGTACCATAGGCAGAATGTACTCAGAAGCAAGCAACTAAAATGGCATCACGAAAACGAGCGAGAAAGAATCACCAGCCAACACCACCAGACGAACCTCGGCCAGTATCACCATAGCAACCTCCTTTTGAGGCAGATCCACGGGCCACCTTTAGTTCTGCCACACTCAGACCAATGCGAACCGCTGTTCGCGATCACAACACGCTCCGCCGAAACTCGCGACATAGCGCGCGATATAACCAACCCACCAGCATACGGCAACAACAAAGAGCCCACCACACGTCCCACCGAAACACGCGACATAATAGCACCGCCGAACAGGAGCGAGAAAAAAGAGATCGCCACAGTACAACCAATGTTAGACCCTGCAGTAGACATCAAGGAGACAGCACCGGAAGACCCATACCGGAACCTTCGCCTACTACGTCCTCGCGAAAATTTACGCAAATGTCCTCCGCATGAACGCAGATCACGCCTTGGTCAGATACCGCGAGCAAAGTTGGGTGATAGAATTCACAGACTGAGAAAGAAGCCACACACACAACCCTCCAAGACTGTCAAAACGCCCCACGGAACTGGAAGACTAATTTTTATTTTATATATACTCACTTATAACTACAACACATGAAATTAACAAATTTTTGCTTTTTTGATATTTTACCTTTAATTGAAATGTAATTTGATACCTTCAATAAGAAACTATGGTCATATAGCTATAAGTAACCTAACAGTTCAAAAATAAAAATAAAATTGAATCGATAAAGTTTAGTTTGTGAATTTTTTCGATTTACAAATATATATATATATAAACTTCGAGTTTTTTTCTTAAAGAGTCTACAGATCAGAGGCATACTCTTAGTCAATGAAGGGGTTCCTTCAGAATTGAATGCTCTAGAAAAGTGTCCATTGCGGTTTAATCCTAACTCCCACCAGCGAGGTAGTACGGGTCACTAAACTCAATTTTTTCCTGAAAGTACTAATTTTTTTGCCTCTATCTCGAAAATAACAAGAGCTACAGAAAAATATAAATGACAAACTTGTAGGACTTTCAATTTCAGAACACAAAATCGCTTTCATCGATATTTCTTGAGATATTGGACTATGAAGTTGATCAACAATTTCTACCTCGCTGGTAGGAGTTAGGATTACACCGCAATAGACACTTTTGTACAACATTCAATTCTGAAGAAACCCCATCATTGACCAAAATTATACCATAAAATGCCTCTGAGCTGTAGACTTTTCAAGAAAAATACTCGAAGTTTGCGTGTATTTTATATTGGAAATCTTTGCACGCCTTGGGCGTGTATTAATAAATTTTCAGGTAGCTTTTTTTAGGTGTTTTCCACAAAATTTTGAGGTAGGAGTGAAAAAAAAACAGTAGTCGCAAAAAAATCCCTTGCCCTTAAATATAATAAAAATCCATTAATACACACACCGGCCAAGCCTTCACACTTCCACAGGTAGTGCAGGCCCTCGAGCCCAAACTATTTTTGTCGTCTGAAGTGGGAGGGGGACTGTAACGTAGCTCCCCTACGCCAGGGGTTCCCAAACTTTTTTCCCCGCCAAAAAAGAATAACGCCGCACAGTCTTTCAACTATATGGAGGCCGGTGGAAATAGTAGTACACCACCACCGATTTCACTGAAACTCAACGTATGCTCTAGTTTTACTTAGAAATAGAGAATTATGAAATTTTGTAAAGATGGAATAATTGCCACGCCCTCTACTCTTGTGGGCGGAAACATTAAATTTCATCCGAATTCGATGAAATTTAGTTTTGTATAAAATATGGGTTAGATTGGATCACTATAACGTCCAAAACTCATAAAAAATTAAATGTGATGTTATTAAATATGATGAAATTTTGGTTAACTTTTGTTTCCTGCTTTCTACTCTCAGAAAACAAAGGTATAGTACTTAGGTGTAAATACTCGCTTTTTCGCAATATTTGGTGAGATTTTTTCATTGTTCGAAAAATTCTTTTCGTTAAATTATTCAAAAAGAAGCTGAAAATCAAAAATTACATATATTTGCAAAGACGCGCGCAAAGATCAAATTATATATTCGAAAACTTTATAAAATTCTCTAATACAGTCGTCTTCTTTCAAGACCTGACCGTCCGGTCCACACTTTTTGTTACTAATAATCTACATCTACATTTCAATGTAAATTTTTTGGTAAGAAAATAGGAAAGTACCATATAAATGATAAATACCTTCACCTGAGTATTCCACGACATTTAAATAATTGATTACAGTTGAAAAACAAACACTTTCTTTAATGCCAAAGGCAACTAAACTGATTAGTCGGTATCGCGCCCATTCCCGTATTTTTTTGGGAATGTATCGCTCGTGAAGAATAATTTAAAATTTGGTATTTATGACTTTTACTTTTCCCTCTCTAAGTCCAACCGGGTTCTTATCAACTGTCACCATGACTTTTTTCTACCTGCCTCCATATAGTCGAAACACTGTGCGCCGCGACCAGACGCCATTGTGATCAAATCCACTGGGGAATACTCTTATGCTGACATACTTTTGCAACTGAATAAGTCCTAGGACCTGAATACTGCCAGGTTACAAGCTGCGGTTGGGAAAAAGCTTCCCGGTATGGCGGAAGTAATGACCTTAACGCAACAAAGTCTAGTGGAAATCCATGATATCGACGAGATCGCAACCAGAGAGGAGATATGTACAGGTTTAAACGCGCTGTGCGACTTTATCAAAGTACAAGTATCGACATCAGAAATATGCGCAGAGCATATGGAGGCACGCAAACGGCATCACTCCTTATCGCTGATAGTTGCGTCAAAAAGCTCGATAGGAAAGGTGAGAGTCGAGTGGGTAGTCTGCAGAATTCGCCATAAAATTCAACCAAAGCGTTGCTACAAGTGTTTTGAGTTTGGACACATTTCGAAAAACTGCCAGAGTAACGAGGACTTCAGTAAAGCTTGCTTCAAATGTGGTCAACAAGGACATATAGCAATGGTCTGCAATAATAACTCAAATGCTTACTGTGCGTGAAACACGGTGCGAGCGCTACTGACCGTCAAGCAGGAGGGTACAGGTGCCCAGCTTACCAATCAGCGGTCGGAAAAATACAAACATAATGAAACGTTCCAAACAGGGCAACACATGCCTCCTAGTCTTGGTAGATAAATTTTCCAAGTGGATCGAATTGATACCCGTCCGAAATGACACCGCCACGACCGTAATCAAAGCCTTCCGAGAAAGGGTGATTTACCGATTCGGATGGATGCCCGCCCGTTTTCCTTAGCGACAACGGCAAACAATTTACCTCGGAACTACCGGAAATATCCTTCGACATAAACACCGCGCAATAAGAGTCCTCGTCGTCGGCCGCCGAAATAAACTTTGGCCGCAGGCTCGTGGCACCACAGCAAACAAGGGCGGCATTACAGAACTGTGGAAAGAGGTCGCTAAACACCTAGCCCCGGCAGCCAAACATAAAAAGAAATACTATGACTTACGTAGACGTCCGTGGAAGCCAAAAATTGGGGACAGAGTAATGAAGAGAGACCACCCTCTCTCTTTAGCCATCGGGCACTTCGCACAAAAACCTCCTCCGCTACGTCTCCACGAATTCTGCTAAGCTTGTCCACGTCGAATGACCCAACGGACAACACACGCACGCTCACCTCCAAGTTCTGAAATCATTTGTCAAACATTAATCGGCTATCTCCTTCTCTACATACTAAACCTACATGAGAAGCACCGCTAAAAGAAGGTTAGGTTATGTTAGGTTGGAGTGGCAGCCCCGCGCAGAGCGCGGAGCACACGTGGGCT